ACAGCATGGTCTCCATGGAAATGCTTTGGCAGATCCCATAGGTGTAGCAACTGGACATGTGAGCTAACTATAAATTCCCTCTTGAAGGGAGATCTGAGGGGCACATCCTCATGGCTGTCATATAAAGACTTTTGTTTCTATATTATTTATTTGTATTGAGCTTTGTCAATAAATATATACCAACCAATTAAAAAATCAAGAGAAAAAAGTTTTTTTAAAAAACAATTGAACATCAACCCTTACACTTCCCCACAATTTTTAAGATACTAATTGGCAAAAATTTAGACACAAATAACTGAATCTAGTGATGTAGTTGTGTTTTGAAGGAATTATAATAGCTGTGGCAGTCTTCAGAACTCCCCAGATAAATTTGCTATAGTTGTAAGGGTTGCTGGCTTGATCTGTGTAATAATGTCCCAGATTTTGAAACTCTGAACATGGCAAATCATCTTTTTAAAATTAACCCACAGGTGCCCATGTAGAAGAGTGGTACTTCGTTTCCAGAGTTAAATTGATACACACTTAAATAATTAGGAGTTCCACCTTTGAATACTCTCTTAGTAATTTGCATGTGAAGGGGGTAGAAAAGGGAGAATGATAATTGGAGGAAAGTTTTGAGAAAGATTCAAGGTAATGCTTTCTTCCCAATACTATAAAGAATTGACATAAAGACTTGGAAAGTAATCTCTACAAATCTGGAATCAAAAAAAGAGAAGGTGAATAATATGCTTACTTGAGTTGCAAATTTCACTGCACTTTGATGAAGAAAATCTCGAGACAAAATTTGCCAGAATCTCCATACAAAAATATATTCTTCTTAAGCACAAATGATTCTCAGGAACATCTATATGTTATTCTCTGAGAAAGGAAGCAGAAGAGCAGATTTTTTCCCCCACAAGATAGTTAATGTTCTCCGCTAAAACATTTCATTTGTGGCCATACCACAATAAATGCTGAATCCCTCGGTTAAACATATTTCCTAGACTAGCTCTGGTTTTACCAGATGCGTGGTGATCACAATGAGACTGAAAAAACACACAACTGTAAAACCCCCCAAAGTGTGTGGCTTCTGCCTGGTCTTAAGTGGTACATGTTCCATTTATACTATAAGGTGATGAGGACCTTTTAAAATGACAGATAAGCATAAGTCAACAACTATCTTCATTGCCGTGGTTAATGCATTTTCATCCTGCATATGCTGTTTTTAGTTGTTTAGATCAGTAACTGCTTTAAAATTTCTCTCCAGTTATGCTCTCCTAATTTTGTCTATGCCTCAACACCAAAAATGTTGATTGCTTCTATCCTGCAGCTGCACAGGAGTTTCAAGAAACAGACATCCTTCTAAAGAGCCATTCCAGGTTGTCCAGCTAAATGGTTGCACTCGAAAATTCTTTACGGGATTCTTGTTTTATACCCAGGTATCAGGAGACACCAAGGAGCATTGAGCATGACAGATGGCCCTGGAAATGTACTGAGTCCTGGGACTTTTATTCCTCTAGAAATCCCCATTAAACCACCTTATCACTAATGGGGGATGACTTAACCTTTCACCTCCATATCTCTTGTTCCTTTTGTTGGTCTTTGCTGGGTTATGTGTTTGTTTCAATACTGAAGATGCAGCCCTTGGGAAAATCCCGTGGGATCAACTCCAAACTAAACAGTGAAATCTTTGACCTCTGCCTGACAGAGGAAGGGTAAATAAGGCCTCTTCCGGAGTGCCTGCTGACTTTCTCAAAAGGTTCATGGCACTACAAGGTAGCATTTGAGAAAACATTCCTCTTGCTAAAGTCTGCACACCAATATCTGTTATGGATGACTAAAGCTGCACTGTCCAGTGTGATAGCCACTAGCCACAAGTGGCTATGTGAATTTAGGTAATGAATTTCCACATGTTCATCAATGCTAAGGATAATGAAAATCACATAAGCAGCATCTGGTAACTGACTATACTCATGAAGGCTTATACACTGGGTCAATAACTTTGACATCTTGCTATTCTTCTACTATCCGTTTTTTAACCAGGTTGGGGATTCTAAGGGCCTCATGTCACCTTGCTTAAGTAAGATTAGTAGAAAAAAAAATGTCTAACTTAGATCCCTGAGTATCCTGCCATTGGTGGATCTATCATAAATAACCAGTCATCCAAACATGGCAAAAGAAAGTATAATCCCTTGCCCCAACATTTAGTGTCATCTACTGGAATACCTCTCCTAACTCAAAATGTTATTGTCCTCCCAAGTCTCCAAGAATAGACAGAAAACAGCCAGAAAGCAAGCCTAGTAAGGAGTGGTAAGGAGTGGTCAACTATGGACAGTACATTGCATCAGCTGGTGAGATGCTGCTGGCCACCCCAGGATGGAATAAATATATTGGTTATTTTCGAGCATTTCCTGAGAGATGTCCTCACAGAAATTGATACTTCATAAGTATCAATGAGGTTTCAATACGCCAAACACCCACAAACCTAACACAGTACCCTCCAAAGATGAATAGTTAGAATACCGATGACAAAATGGTTCCACAATATTTTTTAAATTAAGGGTTTGGCTTATAATTGTGTGAAATGATAAATTCAACCAATATTGGAAGCTATAAAATCATTTTCTGAATCAACTTTTCTGAAAGAGCTTCAGCATCCCTCTCTTAGCTATGACCTTTGCCTACTAGTCTGGCAACCCGTGATAGAACCCAGCTCGAAGAAATACCGACTGGGACCAGCTTGTTTGTTTTTATATTTTAATCTGAATTCACTGGTTCAGAAACACAACACTTGGGGACCAATTCACATTTTTATTTTATTACATTTTATTTTTATTACCTCCTAATCCCTGGGGCCACCGTGGGTGGGGCTCCTGAAATGTCAGAGAAACTCTTCAAGAAGGACAAATGCCTGAATATGTATCCCCATGCCATAATCTGTGTGTATTTCAGCTTTCATTAGTGGAGTGCGACATATTTTCCCTGAGTCCAGATGCTCCTTCAATCCCACCTCCACCCAGCGCTCCAGGAAGCTATTAGCAATTATTCCATTGGGACTTCTGTCTGTACTTGACATGGCTCTTCCTTTTGACAATGTTGAGCTCCTTCTCTATCAATCCCCCTATTCAATAGTTAATTTTATCTGCAAGCTAATTTATTACATTCTTTAAAGGGAACTGGAAAGAAGTCTTTATAGAGGTACAAAAATCTTATGGAATATAAAGACTTGCCATCATTTTTTTTTTCTTTTTAGTCCTTCTAAAGATTTTCTTAAAGACATTACTAGACCTATGCTTACCCAGCAGAAGTTCACCAGCACAACACTGTTTTTCTCCCCAGCTATCCAACGCTGGAGAGATACTTAAATTTTGCCTTCATCTATCATTTGAAGAGCAGGCACAGGTAGCAGATTCTCAATAAGCTGGGTTCTATTCTTTAGCCCCATTAAAGAGAACACAGTGGGCTCTTGTTTTCCAGATGGACAATCTCTTATTGGGTCAGTAAGGAACCTATCTTAGTTTTTTGGACTGATACTTTCCACTGGAAAATTTAACGTGAAATTCTTTCTAAGTGATTATGTCTGCCCTTAGACTGGAAATGGATTTATCAGTTTTATTCTAATCAAGATTTTATTCCCAGAGGCACAGGCAGGTGTGCACAGAAATGCAGATGAAAAGAGAGATGCAAGTGTAATTAGGTTTTGTAACTCGACAGCCAGGACATCGCATTGCTGCTTTCCTTTAAGGATCTTAAAAGCTGTTTTAAGAAACCCCTTCATTGAACTTGTAATTTACTCAATGTGGTGCCATAACTTTTGAAAAATTAATTGAGTTAGTGAATGTAACCCAGGCAACCTAGAAGCACGAGCTGGTTTTATGGCTATCGATCTACGTCTCAGATGCACTCAGATTGGCTTTGCTGGCAGAGTTGACTCGGTAACTGTTCTATGGTCCAGCCCATCACCCCACCTTCAGAGACCCATGTGTTTGTTTTCCCTGCTGTCTGCCATTGGGATCCAGCATGCCCCCCATTGTAGAGACTGGGAAATCAGGGGGCAGAGAAGTGAAACGCCTTCCAGAACTTTCATAGCAAGTAAGTCATAGGATGAAGAGAGGAATTTAAATGTCCCAGTGCTTGGAACATGACTGCTGATGTTGCTTTCTTTTTTAAACAGCGCCTATGAATTAAGTATTCAAAACCAAGAACTGCCCCTGGGCTAGGGAACAGCCCACTGCTAGGGGAAAAAATAAAAAGATCTGGTACCCATTGCTAATTATCCCTTTAATTGTTGATATTTTCCCTAGAGAAGATTGATTCTATCTGCTACCCTTACCTGGTCAAGGATGCTTAAAACCCAAAGATAGAGATATTTAAAGTTGAAGCAGGTACCTTCTCTAGTAGCATGAAATCTGAATTCCTAAAACATTAACACCCTGTTTTTCTTTCTCTTGGGTTTCACTGGTGTCTGAGTAAGTGAATAGGCTGTGCTGTTTTCCTGGACACTAGGAATCCAACAGGCCCACGTACCCCATCCCATTGTGTCTGAATTACAAACTATTTTGAGCATCATTTTTGTTCATTTCCTTCCACCTGTGCCTGTGTAGGGTGGCAGCAGTCTCCAGCAATGCATCCTCTGGGACCATGCATTGTAATATCTTTCTCTTTCAAATTCTGTTCCACATAGTCATTTCTCATGTTCTGCTGGAAACCCCCAAAAAATTCATTCCACACTGTCATCCCTTTGTCCTAACCAGAACAACTCGATCGTGTCGAAGAAGGCATGAACCATATCAACCAAGACATGAAGGAGGCCGAGAAAAATTTAAAAGATTTAGGGAAATGCTGTGGCCTTTTCATATGTCCTTGTAACAAGTAGGTACTGGGTACCAGCTCTAATCTGTGGCGTCCAGTTTTCTTTCTTTTCTTCTTTCTTTTGATTTTTTCTTTTTTAATGTCAAAGTGAATGTCTGAAGTTTTGTCTTTTTTTTCTTTGTCCTTTTCCATCCGCTTCATTCTGTGGGGATAAAATACTTGTGTTTAATCAGAACAACTGGAACGCATTGAGGAAGGGATGGACCAAATCAATAAGGACATGAAAGAAGCAGAAAAGAATTTGACGGACCTAGGAAAATTCTGCGGGCTTTGTGTGTGTCCCTGTAACAAGTAGGTGCTGCCTGCCTGCCTGTAGCTTTGGTTTCCCAAGGCCCATCTCCAAGCCTTGACAAGCTCATTCCTGCCAAGCACAAAGGCAGGATGAGCATGTGGCATGCAGAACAGATCAATACCGTCTCCAATGCATTCATCTCATAGCATAGATGATATAGTGGGAGTTACTGTTGATGCATTAAAAATCAGGCATACTACAGTGAAAGCTTCACTGTCAGCAATTTTTATTGATGAACATTTCAACATTTTCCAGAAAGTGTACCTTGAGACAGAGACAAGCCTCAAGAAAGAGGCACCCAGGCAATTTTATTTTCCTGCAACCCCAAAAGCCAAAACTGCAGAGCTAGAAAAGATTGGAGGGTAAGTTTGGAAGTTGAGAAACACTTATGTTCAAGGTTTGATTTTCCAGAAGCAAAAGAGACAGGTAATTTGGCGTAAGCAAGCATCTGTAACACAGAGAATATGACAGAGATTGCCCCACCAGTTGCCAAATCCGCCCCGCGATTAGACTATAGATGCCCCAGCTGCACCCACCGCAGAGGCCATGAGCCCTTCAGCAAGAGGTGCTCAAGCCTTACTCAAATTGGACCCATCCCTGTGAAATTCTTCCTCTTGGAAGATCTATCCGTACACTGACTAAAATGTTGAAATGTGTAGATTTTGCATGCACGACCTCACAAAACTTTCAACTGTTTTCAAGGTTCTGCAACGCTTTTTTTTTGGAATGTAGCAGAAATGTGACATGTGGTTATAAAGGTTTGCAACAGAAGGAACCTGAAAATGAGGGTTCTGGAAGATAGTCTTATTTGACTAGCAGTGGAAAAAAAATGCATGAGTGGATTGTCCAACATGCATTTGGAAAATTAAACCCATTACCCGATCTCCCTCACCCCTCCCACTTCCCTTTGAACAGAAGCCTTTTTCCTAAAAGCTCTCCTGATCCTAGCTTTTAGAACAGCAATTTATGTCATTTCTAGCTGATTATATGACCATTCACATCCTTTAAACTTTGAGGCTGATTTAAAATATCCCACTTCCTGTTTAGGAGGGGGAGGGGCTCGATTTACAGATAAATTTAAAACTGTTTTAAAAGAATGATCTACAGTAAAGCCTGATTAACTGGAATCTAGCTAACTGGAACTCTCAAATGTATTTACACTTTCGCTTCCTTCCACTTTTAGTAAAAAGAGACAGTTGAACAAAGGGATGGGGGATCACATCAGGGACTTAAAATGGTTTTTCTTGAAGGGCAGTCTAGGCAGTTCACATTCTGTCACCCAGTCTACATTTTCCTATGTAACTTCCACACCTAAGGGGACCAAACAATAAGAGTTGATCTTCAGAGGAAAGGCCATCAGGCACATCAAGTGAAACCATAACCAAGGAAAAATTTGGTCATGTTCACTACCCTAAGACTCTAAGGCAGGAAAGTGCCTTGAGAATCTAACAGATATTCAACAATCACCCCTGAAACAAAGTTTTCCTCCATGGCCCACTGTTAATTAACAAAGTCACGTCATTCACCAAAATGTCTCATGGCTACACATTCCAGTTAGTTAAGACTTAACTGTATATCCTTTTCTTTGGCCACTTGCCCCCCCAAGGTGAGATATCCACCCTTTTTGTGATGAATTCCAACAGATACAATTTCCCCATTCATCAACTGTGTGGAGAAGGCGTGGAGGTAGGCCCCGCCCCGGGATGGATTCTAATGTTCAGATGAAATGATGGCCCCTACAAATTCCACATAGTAGTCGGCACAAGAGACCCTAACTGAGCTTCAAAGCTTGAGTGAAGTGTTCCCTATTGTGTGTAAATAATGCTTTAAAAACCATGTGTCACAACGCAGTGGCTGGTGGTGCCCTGGACTCTCTGAGGGCTTCGCCCTGTCTCGGCATGTTTCAAAGGATTATGGTAGATGTACGGCAGTTCTGTGAGTCTATGTGCAGCATTGTGGGTGCAGTGATTCGCCTTCTTTCAGAAACGCAAACTTTCCCACCCCTTTGACTTTGCCAAAGATGGTATACCAGATATTTTACATAGCAGAAAACCTCACAAGGTCCATATAACTTCTTGTAATGTGAGGAGGGAGGGAACGGGGAGTCGGAAAGAAAACAAAGCCAGACTCTAAGCTCTATTAAATTAGTTTTTGGATCCTGTCCCACGGAGTGGGCCCATGGCTCTGTAGCGCAGTAAATTCTGACAGCTCCGAGGTCTGTGGCATTATACACTAGATTGTGGGAATTGCTGAAATTCCATTTGTACAATTTTCCAGCTTATTCCAGGGTTGCTTGGTCCCCTCTGCAAATATTAGTATTAGAGCCAGTTTTAATAGATGGCTGAGATCCTCCAATACAAGAAAAAAAGGGAGGGGGTGTAAATTCTGTTGTCTTATAAGAGAAAATATGAAAATGGGACCACAGGAAGTTCTCTTGTTTTTGGACTAAAAGCATGTGGTTTCTACTATGCAAAGAACCTAAAAACATCTTTGATTGCCTTAAATTACAACACACCCACCAAAATATGCTGCACATGTTTCTATTGGGCACAACAGGTATGCCTGGATTTTAAGTTTCTCTCCAAGGCAGATCAGTGAAATACGGCCCATGGAGACCACACCAGTTCCAGACCACTCTCCCCTGCCACATCCCAGGATAGCTTGAAGTAGGAGTTTGTAATCACTCCCACCCTGCCCCCCAGCCTGACAAAGAAGCTATTGAACCTGCGTTTCAAATCCTCATGAAGGCTATTACTGTCCTGCTAGTGCCTTTTTCGAGAATGGTCAACTTCTGGAGTAGTTTGGCTTAAATGAGAATGCTTCACTTTCTACTCATGCCTGTAGCTGGTGCATGAAGAAGACATAGAGGGATTTCCTTTTCTGGTGCTAGATGGCTTGTTCTCTCTTCTATTTTCCTGCATTCATTTCACTATGCCTCTTTTACTTTTTGTCTCTGTGGACAAAGGTTTGTACATCGACTAGATGTATGGTGACTGTTTGGAAGTACCGATATATTATCTAATTCAAATCACTCTCGAGGCAACTCAAAGACCACCACCCTTGGCCAACCACCAGTGCTTTATGTCCTTCATGCAGAGTTGGAAGGGTTAGTCCCACACATGCGTTGGGGGAAAAATTAAAACAGGGAATCTTTGCATGATGGTGTGTAAAAACTCGGTCGAGTATGTTTTTCTTGGTGACAGTGTGTTGCTGTGGTGTGATGTACACACTCTACTTGGCAGTCTTGTTATGTGTCTGTCTGCCAGTATGTTTTTCTGTGTGTTTTGTGTCTCAAAATATAACCATGTCACTGAAATAGAACCGAATGTCCTCCAGCTACCTTAATCCTTGTCTTAAATCCAACTAAACTGCAAAGACAAACCAAAACAAGAACAACCTTTGGGCAAAGGTTGCAGTCTTGACAATTGCAATTGGCTCGATTGGAAATGCAATGCTGAGTAGCTGAGGCATGGTGGTGGCCAACTGTTTGGGTCCAAATCATGATATATCGGTATTCTCTAATGCCTCGAATTAAAACCCATTTGCTTGGTTCGGTTCTTCGCTTGAAGAGGTGACCATTGTTGTGAGCTTGATGCTCCACCCCCTTGCCTTGTCACTCACCCTCTTTTTTGCATAGGCTTAAATCAAGCGATGCTTACAAAAAAGCCTGGGGCAATAATCAGGACGGAGTGGTGGCCAGCCAGCCTGCTCGTGTGGTGGACGAACGGGAGCAGATGGCCATCAGTGGTGGCTTCATTCGGAGGTGAGCCGCAGTGCAGCTAGCCCTGTAGCAGTCGTCCATTGTTAAGTAAACAAATCATCCCAAGCTGAGTGGGTCTTAAAGCAACAACCATTTTACTGGTTACTTATGAATGTGTATGTTGCTGGGCAGTTCTGCCAAGAGCCCCTCCTGGGCTCCCTCATTCCGTGCAGATGGGTGCACGATGGCCCAAGATGGTCTCAGTCACTCGGCTCGTGGTTGACTAGGGCAGGGCGCCTCCACTCTCCCCCGTGCGGTCCCTCCAGCGAAGAGCCCTGGCTTCTTACATGGTGGTGGCAGCATTCCAAGGGGGCAGGCTCCAATGCACAAGCACTTATCAAGCCTTGTCGGGTTTGCCAGAGTTTCATCAGACAAAGCGAGTCACATGACCACATCCAGCCTCAATGCGGCAGTAAACAGGTGTCTCATTCCATAAATGGAATTGAACAGAACTTATTAAAGAGATTGTTTACAGAGATGTGGGCCGGGTTAATAACAAGCGATGGTAAAGCATTGGTGGACTAGCAATAGCAGGAAAAGTCCTGAAGGGATGGGAGCTGTTATCAGAACCTAACAGTAGTTACCACTGTGGGGAAGGGACTATAGAGAAATGCTGCTGTTGCAAAACTAGCAGGAAATGAGAAAGGGAAATAAATGCCCCCATTCCTCTTTCCTCTTGCCCTCCAATATCTCACGGGCCATCTGCCAAAGCCTACTGGAAGCTGGAGGGTTAAGAGAATCTGGGTGATGCCTTTGTAGAGAGGTCAGCGTCTCTGGGCAGAGAGCAAAACAGGTCGGAGAATGGACCTGGGGGGACAAATAGAGAATAACAAGCATACCTGACTTCTGATTTCCTGTGAGACCTGGGAGCAAAAGCCAACTTAATGACCTATTTAAAAATCTCAAATTACACAGATCTGCCTATCCAGAAATCAGCTCTCAGGAGACCAGAAAACAGAGTAAATAATGACAAATATTCCTGTTGTTAAAAAGAGAAGAAAAGAAAAAAAAAAACCCTATCCCTTTTTACAGGCTACTGCTAGGACTCAGCAGTGACGAGGGTACCTAATGACTAGTGTAGAGATAGTTGTACAGCTATATATTACTGGGCCATTGTAGCTGATGTTACCAACCAATAACCCACATTCAAATGACAGTGACCTGTGTAAGGTCTAGATAGCTACATAAAGCCTCACAGATGACAATTCTATTCTTGTTTCTATCTGCTCCCAGGGAAACTAGACCAGGGGTTCTCAATCCTGGCTGCACATTAGAATGACCTGAGGCTGTTTTTTAAAAACATCAGTACTGAAGGGCGCCTGGGTGGCTCAGTCAATTAAATGTCTGCCTTTGGCTCAGGTCGTAATCCTGGGATCCGGGGCTCCTGGGATGGGGCCCCACATTGGGCTCCCTGCTCAGGCGGGAGTCTGTGTCTCCCTCTCTCTCTGTTCTTCCTCCCGCTCACATGCTCGCTCTCTCTCTCTCAAGTAAATACATACATACATACATACATACATACATACATACATAAAATCTTTAAAAAAAAGTGAGACCCAGCCATCTGTGGTTCTTAAAGCTTTTCAGGTGATTCTAATATACAATCAGCATTGAGAATCCTGGAACCAGAGTATGCCTTAGCTGTTGATAATCATTTAAATAAGTTTCTTTTTTATGTAAGAAAGCTAGGAAGTTCCCCCTTTAATTTCTACTGGCCTAGGCTGCTTTAAAAACCTTTGTGGGCTAGTCTACACTGGGGGTGACCATGGGGAATGGGTTTTAACCCCTCTGAACATTTTTAGCTCATCACCACATGCAGTGGGAAAATATTAATTAACCAGAACGTCCTAGAATGAATACTTACCATTTGCAATAAAGAGTTACTACCTTCTTAACTTTCAAGCTGAACTGTGAAAAAAATGGCCAGGTGGTAAGGCACTTCGAGAGCCAACTCCTTCCTTCCCAAACTGGAACAATAATCTTTTATCACAATTTTTCCCCTGAAATCACCCATTCACAATGCCACCAACCCCAACCCCCCCTGCAATGAAATCTGAGCAAATAGAAATCATCTTGAATAAGTAGCTCCCTTTGGAGTTCTTAGGAGCCAGCAGGATTAAGGGGCAGACTGTATTATCCTTACTCTTCCCAGGGATTTTGGCCCCAAATGCGGAAGAAGATGAAGCAGAGAAATTCTCTGACTTAACACAATAAGCCTTTTCTTTCATTCTCAATTTAACTCTTGGAGACTTTGTTTGACATTTCAGAAAGAAAAATACAGTTTCTAACTAGTTCCATCTTCATTCTCTGACCCAGTCCTCTCAACTAAAATGATTTTATTCTTAAAAAATGAAAATTAGGATAAACATATGAACATAGGGAGGAAATGATGTGCTGGTGGAAATGAAAGAAGTAAATAAATTAATCTATTTAATATGCCTTCTCTAAAAAAGAAACTTAAATGTTCAAAAATGAAATTTAAAAATTATTTTCTAGGGACACCTGGGTGGCTCAGTCAATTAAGAGTTTGACTCGATTTCAGCTTGGGTCTTGATCTCAGGGTCATGAGTTCAAGCCCGGCGTTGAGATCCATGCTGGGTGTGGACCCTACTTAAAATAAATAAATAAATGAATGAATGAATGAATAAATAAAAATTATTTTCTAATGTATAAAAGCTAAAATGTACTCATTGAACAAAGACTAAAGATGCATGGGATTGATACCTAAGGGGTCTCCAGACTTTCCCTTAGCTTTGGGTCCTTGGTATTTGAGTTTTTTTCACACTTTCTATCTTCTAAAAATTACATTTTGACTCCCAGGGTAACAAACGATGCCCGAGAAAATGAAATGGATGAAAACCTGGAGCAGGTGAGCGGTATCATTGGAAACCTCCGTCACATGGCCCTGGATATGGGCAATGAGATCGATACACAGAACCGCCAGATCGACAGGATCATGGAGAAGGTGAGCTTATAGCAGTCAGCAAGCTTCCATTGTTCATTACTTCTTCTGAGATACCACTGAGGAAGGATGAATGGCAAAATAAGCCCCTCAAACTGTGGCATGGGATTCAGGCATACAGATAGATGGAAATTTCCCCCTTATTTTTCCAAGACAAAAATTCACCAACATATAAGTAAATAAGAGAGTAGAATTTAATCTAGCAGATATTCCTCAGAGGCACCTCTGTTTCAGGATCCAAAGGCCGTAAAGATGAGAAAGACATCATCCCCACTGCTAAGAAACTCACAGCCTATGGGAGGCAGTGAGCCTCCAGCTGAATTTACTACCACACAAAATATAATTTGCCAAGAAAGCCACACATAAAATGCTAATAAGTAGGGTTAGATGAGGAAAGATTTCAAGAGTTAAGTGACGGGAAAATCTCCAAAAAAGCCAAATCGAGTCTTGAAGGTTGGTTAGGAGCTTGTCAGGAGATGGTGTAGGAATAGAATCAGGAAATAAAGGAAAGAATACTTATTTTAGTTTAACGAGAAGATGAATATGAGCTTTGATTTTATAAATGCCAAAGCTTTAATGATGGTTCAAAAAAGCCCAGATTCCATTTCCAGTTCAACAGTTCACATGTCCAGATCTCAAAATAGAAAGCATGATCTGATGAAGTTGAGTTCACACAAGGACACCAGATGTGGCTCTAAGAGAAAACCCCCTGGTGTCAACAAGAGTCATAAGGAAAAGTGAAGAGAACAGAATGGGAAGGGATGGGTTTAGGGAAGGGAACAGAAAGAAACACTGGATAAGCCTTATAAAAAGATTTGGGGTACCAAAACCTGATATTCCACACTACAAATCTGACATACTTTCTACGATCTTGTATTCTTCCCCCTCCCCGATCAGTAGCGTCCTGAATATTGCTTATCATCTCTTAAGATATCAAAATGCCAACAGGAAGAAATAGATACATTATAGGTTTAATGGTAATTGTGCATCTATAATCAATTCTAGTTGGCAATCTTACATTGTATGAGTTTATTCCTGAGCTATATTCAGCTCAAGCTGTATATATACAGCTCATATTGCTGTATGAGCTATATTCAAAGAGAGATACTGAAGTTTTGAGCCTGAAACCCTGAGTTTCTTTTTAACAATTCATTCCACTTTAGTGAGCAGAGAAGGATGCTTTGAATCCTAAGGCTAAACACTGAGTTTCTTGGAACCCAAGCATCCTCCACCGACCTGAAAAAGAAAAGAGTAGACATAAAGGGAACGCTTTGCCCTATTGTGCTCTATGTGCTCCCTATTAAAAATATCTGATTGCATAATATTTTGCCTGATCAATATTGAGTTACACAAATGTCAGTGTTGGTTGGCAAAAGGCTTGTGCTTTGCTTACTTTTACAAGTCATGACATACTTATCATTGTTAAGAGCCTTTGATATGCTAAAGCTTTTAAAGCTGCACAAATCAATAGACTTTAGAACAATATTGAGAGTTTCAAAAAGCACTGGAGCCAACACAAGCTGACCTAGCCCATTATGGCCAGAAAAAAACAATTGCCGAACCACCTTCCAATGGGAAAATGATTTGAAAAAACAGGAAGTACTCATTTTCTGTCAATGGACCCAATTTACTCACAGATGTAGGGAGATAATGTACCTCTAACTCAATTAGAGTTCCAGAAGTAGTACTTTTACTAAGAGAGAGGGGTCAAATCTTTATTGATAGAGTAGGACTTTCAGCACCAAAAAGTGTTCCTGGAAAGGCAAGTGGCATCTTAATTCTGCCACTTTGCATTTCTAGTTCTCTTCTCTAGGGAAAACCTTTCATTTTGGGCCCAGTTTACTAAAGGGCAAAGATGTATGCAGCCATGATGTGTAATTGGAGTCAGGCAAGTGGATGGGAAATAGCCATTATGGTTTGTATCATTCTTTAAGTGCTAATTTGTTTAAGAAGTGAGAGAGGGGTCTAGTTGCCTTTGAATAACTAGCCTTTATCTTAGCTCCAAAATCAGAATCTGAACATGATTAGAGAGAGTCCATTTCAACCCAGCATCGCCACAAATGATACATGTTATATGAGCTGCACAATTTTTAATAGATTTCCACCTGTCTCATGTAAGTTCTCACTTCTGATCATAGGAAACAGTGTTCAAAGGTCTCTTGCATATCTAAGAGTAAATTAAACTCACAGTCTAAGAATAAAAAGAATCTTGGGGCACATGGGTGGCTCAGTCTGTTGAGCATCCAACTCTTGGTTTCAGCTCAGGTCATGATCTCAGGGTTGTGGGATTGAGCCCGCATCAGGCTCCATGCTCAGCACAGAGTCTAGTTGGGATTCTCTCTCTCTCTCTCTCTGCCACTTCTCCTCCTCGCACTCTCTCTCTCAAATAAATAAATGAAACCTTAAAAAATTAAATGAATAAAGGGAATCTTCTGATGTTTCTCCCATATTCTCCCATGGCCCCCAACAACAACCTTCACCCTACCCCATCAATCATGATCCTCTCTCATCTCTTGGATTGATAGTAAAGTTTTGGAAGTCCAAAACAATGTAATTTTTAATACATCCCCATGGACTGTCAAGGAATTACTTTGTCTATTTAAAAACTTTGCTTTCTGCTTTAAGATATATATATATGTACATATATATATACAGTCTTCTAAGGTTGAAATGGTACAATTCTTTCAGAAAACTAAAATGGGGCAAGTTGTATTAGCTTCTTTATGTTGTTCAGGAAGTAGTAATGTTCAAACTTCAATTTAAAGTTGTCAGTGGTAGATGCCACACACACGTTGAAATACAGTGAGGCTGAAGCTTTAACATTCCTTTGAATTTTCCTATCAATGAGGAAACACAGCATTTGAAAACTAAGACCTTGAGTTCCAGTGGCATTTCCTGCTCACCAGCTTCATGACCTGATTTCTTCATCTGAAAGATAATAAGGGAACAGTTCAAACCTTGGATGAGAACATGGCTACCATGTAGGGTAATAAGCATCCACTTCTGGAATTCTGAGCAGGGGCCTAAAAGCTACCTGCCATGGTCTGAAGTTGAGATTTCCAGAGTGTGCAGAAGGGTGGGCTAATGATCTCCTTCTAACTCTTAGTGGCTCTGTGGGGATCATCCTTGCTTTCTCACAGGGGCAAATCATGTGGCATATCTTGGGTATGCCAGTGAGCTTAAGATTCTCTAAATAGAAATATGAAAACTGGGGTGGGCTATATTCCATAAATACAGTCCTAAAGCATATAAAAAGAATGAACACAGAGGCCTTCTCCAAATACCAGGGAGACATCTAAAAGGAGATTACCTCAGGATTTGTTCCTAAAAGATGCTATTTCTGTTATATAATAAAGATATAGTACCTATTGCATAAGGTATATGGGCTTGAGTTTTGATATGCTTCAGAGAAAATTTAGGTAGAAATCACAGATCTTCAGTGAACATAGGTCTGTTTTGGATCCTTTGACGATGTCCAGAGAATAACCTCATGCTCTACTTCAAAATATCCACTTCCACCACCAGGTGAATGGTCACCAGTGTATTCTTAATGCAAGAGTTTCTAGAATGCTTGCTTCCAGACATGCCATCCATTTTTAAATTAATGATTTCCCCCCATTTGTGTTTTCCTTAGTATTCAGTCTGGAAAAATAGCATAATTCAGTCTGCAGAAACATTTCACATTGGTCTGAGCCTAGAATTTTCCTTTGCACCAAAGTATCATTATTTCTGATAGAGTTTATAGCTAAAGAGAGGAGATTTAAGAGCCAAGTAAAATTGGAAAGAATACCTATTTTCCAAATCAGGAACCTAAGGTCCAAAATATGAATCTATAGATCAAAACAAGGAAAATTAATGCTCTATCTTAACTTGTTTTGAAAGTCAACTTTTGATTATCCAAACAGATGGTAGGAAACCATTGCCAGATAATTCAGAATAATGAATAATCTAGCAATATTTCTATTTTAACTTGGCAAATTTCTAGTTGAATATAGATAACTCTAAGTGTGCTGGGAATTCACAATTAAACTAAATAAAGAAGATCCAGTTTGGTGGAGATTGGAAAGCACCAAGCACCATACAAGATGCAAAATCGGTAATCATTGAACAAATACAGGTTGATAAAAAAGCAGTTCAGTTTCCCTACACTGCCTCTCAGCTTTGTGTTCCTCTTTCCAGGCTAGAGAGGGCAGACGCCATCACCAATCATGATAAGACAAAACAACAGCCTAAACAGAATCTTCATTTTTGCCTCTGCTTGCTCACTCAGACCTTTCTCAGTGGTGTTGGGAATAGTTCATTTTCTGGTAGCAACTCTGGGTTTCATGCTGCATATACAGCAAAAGGTAACTGAAGCAGTGAGATCAGTCAAGGCACAAAATTATGGAAAAAGTGCTCTTGTTAAAACAAGCCAATGATAAGGGACACCTGGCTAGCTCAGTCAGTAGAGCATGTGGCGCTTGATCTTGGGGTCATGAGTTCAAACCCCCAGTTGGATGTGGAGCCTACTTAAAAAATAAATAAATAAAATAAATAAATAAACAAGCCATTGTCAAACTCCATGGGAATGAGTCTTCAAAAATGGAACTTAAAATTATTAAACATCCCAACAAGTCAGATTTTCACCCAATAACAATAATTGCAAGATAAAATATATTGAGCACTTAATCTTTGCAAAAAATTATTCCAAGCACATTATATGTACAAACTCATTTCATTTTCACAGCAGACCTAGTACTATAATGATTAACATGATGATTACTAGTGTGGATTCTGACTCCAGGCTGCCTGATTTCCTCATTTGGAAAAATGAATTAATAATAATATACTCCTCATAGTTGATATCAATCTTGATGTCAAGGTTGAATGAACTGGATATAATAGACATTCATGCTTGTTAGCAGGATTCTTTTTTGTCCAGCTTCGAGACAAGAAAGCCAAGGCCCCAAGATGTTATGTAATTGGCCCGAAGTGACACTGGTTAGCCATGATTTGAACCCAACTGTATAAGTGGTGGTAATTAAACTCAATCCACAGATGTGAATGCCTTTCATAACGTCACTGGGTGTCATTCCAGGATAGAAAGATAAATGATATAACCCTGTCCTCAAAAGGATGCGCTCTGGTAGGGTGAAACAGTCATGAGTACTAAGATGGAGCTTCTATGATCATGTCCAAGTAGAACCACAAGCAATCGTTCTGGAATCACAAAAGAAGAGAGGGTCAGTTCTGACAGGAGAAGTTTCAAGATGCCTTCACTCAAGAAGGGGGCATTTGAACAGACCCAGAAGGAAGAACAGAATGTCCAAAGGTAACCTGAGTTTTGTTTTCTTCCCCCTTTTCTAGGCTGATTCCAACAAAACCAGAATTGATGAGGCCAACCAACGTGCAACAAAGATGCTGGGGAGTGGTTAAATGTGCCCACCTGTGTTCTCTTCCAAATGCTGTTGGGCAAGATAGCACCTTTGTGCTTTTCTCATCGTATTACCTAGTAGGTCTGCACACATACACACATCAGTCCACCCCCATTGTGAATGTTGTCTTGTATCGTTCATCAGCTTCCCCAAACTATTATGTGTCTTTTGTTCTTTCTGAGTCTCTTTCTTTCCAAAGGTTGTATATAGTAGTCATTTGGTGGCTCTAACTCCCTACATAAGATGTCTTGGGTTTCATTTTTCCTTTTCTCTCCTCAGTGGTGTTTGCTGAATGACAACAATTTAGGAATGCTCAACGTGCTGTTGATTCTTTCAATACACAGTATTGTTCTTGTAAAACTGTGACATTCCACAGAGCTACTGCCACTGTCCTTTCTTTGAGTGTCAGGCTCTGAAACTCTCAAAATTTGCTGTCCTTGGTTCCTCATGGTTGTCATCTGTCTTTATGATTTCATGATTAGACAATGTGGAATTACATTACAGGCATTGCACTAAAAGTGATGTGATTTATGCATTTATGCATGAGAACTAAATAGATTTTTAGATTCCTACTTAAACAAAATCTTTCCATGACAGTAGCATACTGATGAGAAAACACACACACACAACAGAAACAACGAAACAACAACAAAGCATGCTCAGTATTGAGACACTGTCAAGATTAAGTTCTACCAGCAAAACTGAAGTAGTGTCACTTTCTTTCTGTCAGTATATAGACTTATTAATCATGATCATCCTTTTTTAAAAAAAAAGAATTTTAAAAAAAGATGGATTTGACACACTCACCATTTAATCATTTCCAGCAAAATAGACGTTTGGCTGAACTATGTCAAATGAATGTAATATAGGATTTGTTTGCTGCTTTTGAAGGCTATGTTTTGGAGAAAGCAGTCTTGCTGTGAAACAGTGTGGAGATGTAAATTTTATAAGGCTGACTCTTTATTAATCACCATTTCCCCCTGTGGTTTGTTATCAGTACAATTCTCTGTTGCTTAATCTAGAGCTATGCACACCAAATTGCTGAGATATTTAGTAGCTGATAAAGAAATCTTTAAAAAATAATATAAATGAATGAAATATAGATAAACTGTGAGATAAATATCATTACAGCATGTAATATTAAATTCCTCCTGTCTCCTCTGTCGGTTTGTGAAGTGATTGACATTTTGTAGCTAGTTTAAAATTATTAAAAATTATAGACCCCAGATGTCTGCTTTAATTTCTTTATGGACTCCGTCTGATTTTGCACTCACATGAGAAGAGGAAGCCTGGCCACTCCATCCCATTGCTCCTCAGAAACCAGTTCTGTGTGCTGAGAACACTGTGTGGAAAAAACAAAGATGTCCCTTTTAGACACAATTCCAATGGCAGGTGACACTTGGCTTGATTTTTATCATCTGTTTCAGAAATATTTGTGTGTGGATTCAGTGTTGGCTATGGGAGAAAATACAGTTTTCCAGAAGATAAAAGAAAACATCTATGGAAAAAATCTGTGGTACTCAGACTTGACCCTACCTAGATTTAGGTATATCAGGTATCAATCCACTCTTCCTTCCTCTCCCCAAAATCCAGTCCCACCACCAAAAGTGAACCCTCCACAACCACACCACTGCTGCCCTCACTTTTTTTAACAGCTTTATTGACATACCATACAATTCACCCATTTAAAGTATATAATTGAATGGTTTTTAGTATACTCACAGATTTGTGCAATCAAATTTTAGAATATTTCTAACGCCCCCAAAAAGAAAGCCCATACCAAATAGCAGTCACTCCCATCCCACGTCCACCAGCCATAGGCAACCATTAATTTATGTCTGTCTATAGATTTGCCTATTTGAACATTTCATATAAATGGAATTATACAGGACGTGATGGCTTTGTGTCTGGCTTCTTTTACTTAGCATAATGTTTTCAAGGTCCATCCATGTTGTAGCATGTAACAGAGCTTGATTCCCTTTTATGGCCAAATAATGTCCATGGTGTGGATACCACATTTTGTTTATCCATTCATCCATTGATGGACACTTGGATGGTTTTCACTCTTTGGCTATTATGAGTTATGATGCTGTGAACATTCATGTGCAAGTTTTTGTGTAGACCTGTTTTCAATTCTTTTGATATCACCATTTTTGTCATCACTGCCTCTGTCACTACAAGCCAACATTTCCCCCGCCATCATCTCCACCAGCACCTGTACCAGCCTTACCTCCACCACTGCTACTACTGCCTTGATTACCACCACCTTCCTCTCTCCTCTTCCTCTGCCACCTCTCCCTCCTCTTACCTAATATCTTCAGCATCTCCATCTTTATCACTGCCATCTTCCCAGTCACTAGCATCACCTCCATCCCCTGCCACCACCACCAATGCCCTCAACTTCACCTCCTCCACCACCTTCACCATCACCACCATCACCTCCCTCACCACCACATTCACTAACACCACCATCACCACCATCACCTCCCTAACCTCCATCTCCTCCTCTGCCTCCCTCTTCTGTCCCATAATAGCGATACAGATGAATTTGTCCTGGTTGCCTTGGCTGGCCACCAGATAATTTCATCCCCAAAAGCAGTTATGGAGGTTTGCTAGAGAAGTTAAGGAGTGGAAACAGGGATGACAAACTCGTCATTCTCAATAACTGTTTGCAGTTCTTCACCCTCTTCCCAAGCCTCAGGATAGGTTCTAGATATACCCACATGCTCAGGGAAGTTATTAGGAACAACTATAACAATACATCTCTTCTTGAAAGTTAAGAGTAGTAGAGAGGATGCTAGAAGATGGAGAAAGTGGATAAATATGCTACATATGTCAAAGTTGCTAAGGGGTCAATGTATGAGTCATATCAGAAAATTCTCTCCCAAATTCCATCTCCTCTCAGTGAGGTGTTTCCACATTGTATGAGTAATTAAAACCCCATACTGGATACATGAAAATCGAGATATAAGCATTTTGCTTTAAGGCCCACCACATAATTCATTCTGAAACCCATTTCCTTGGATAATTGAGTTTGTCCAGCCTCAACTCTTCTGCAGTCAATTCCTTTTGGCTAAAAGAGGACATATTCCCTGGGAATGAATCAGCTCTGGGTAGGAACCAACTCAGGAAGTGCATTAGAAATATAACGATTGGGGAAAGGCTAAATCTTCTGCCCGCCCCATCCATGGCCCTTCTACAAACCAGAAGGTGAAAGGTGGTCCCAGGTCCTAGGAGCAGAGTCCTTTCCTCTTGCCTGCCTCTCCATTTCTAGTTTCAGTTTTCCTTCTTTCACATCCTCCCCCAGCATCTCCTTTGACCAACTTTCCCGATCTTTGTGTCACTGATTGGCCAGACAATTGATGACTGCACTTGAAATTAAGAGAAAAGGAAGAAGACTCATACTTGGTGATCATCTACTACATGCCAGGTACTGTGTTAGGTGCCTTATTTATGTTGACTCAATTAAACCCTCCTAAAAATGCTACAAAGTGGGGATTATTAGCCCATTGTGCAGAAGAAGAAATTAATAGTTTATTTGAACAAGACCTCTCAGCTAATAAGTAATGTAGGTGTGATTCAAACCAGATGTGTACTTCCAAAGCTATAGGGAAGCCTGGAAGATAAATCCAGGATTGCGCCTCTCTCAGTTCAAGCAGCCAGAAAACTCCAGGAGATATCTGGCTTCACAAAGAGCAGCAAAGACAAATGTACTGGATTTCTTAGCCAAAAGTCTTAGGGAACACCTTTGATTCATTCTTTCATTCATTCATGAAATATTTATTGAGCTTCTATGCCAGGCCCTGCTCTGAGTATTGGGAGTACATGAGGCAGGGGGAGGGGAAGAGGCAGCAGAGGGAACAGGGAAAATTCTCAAGCATTCATTGAATTTATATTCAAGCTGGGGGAGATAGATAAACCAACAAGTCAAAAATGAAGTATATCAGATAGTACGTGTCACACAGAAATGTAAGCAGTGAAGGGGAAAAAGAGTGCAGAAGGTGGACAGGGTATTATTTAACATAGAATGATTGGGGAAGACCTCACAGATAAGTGAAATTTAAGTAGAGAATTCTTCAAGGTTTGGAGTAACCAAATTGATATGTCCAGAGTGAACTCATTTAAGAAGCAGGGGTTGGGAGTGAGAAAACAAACATACAAACTATATCTTGTCATTTAGTAATCCTGGAGTTCCTCCTTGGCAACTCAGTCAACACCAGTTTTAACTATATCCCACACTGTCTGGAAGAAACTTGCAAACTCCTTGGCTCAGAGAAGAAGGATGCAAGTCCACAAGATGAAACAAACTGTGCAAGGAATGATCAAGTTAAATTGTCTTAGGAGAGGAGAAAGTGTTGACTTCAAGGTCCAAGATTTAGGAATTCTTGCTCTGGGTGCTCTTCATACAATCATTGACATACTAGTTTACCTTCAAGCAAGTTAGTCATATATCTCAAGTTCTCCATCTAGGATTTGGAAACTCAAATATATCTCCTAGAATGTAGGAGACTTTGGGGAACAAGGAAACTAAAGAAAAATAAACCATTAACAAGTCAGTTAACCCCAATGCCCACAGCTATTTCCAGGATGAGTTGCCAAAGCTCCAGGTATCTAACTATTCCAGAGTCCCAAACTCAGGTGATGTTTCCCACCCACCATCTCACCATCCTTAGCTCCTCCAGCCTCTTGCCATAATACAACTTCAAGACCATTCTGTTCAGGGGGCTTCCTGCCTTAAGTTCATGATACTGTCTCCACAAGCAACTCAGAAAAATGTGGCCCATCATCCTTCTAGACACTGCTAGTGCCGTGCCCATATCCTCTTGAGCACTTACCTCTACTCACAAAATGCTGTTTGCAGTGAAGAACACTGCAAATTCTCTGTCTTGGGACAGAGAACACCAGAACTGCTAAAGTTTTAATGCCCTGGGAAGCAGTCCTTAACCAAGGGTGGATGGGGATTGATGAGTAGATAGATGCCCAGTTTCCTTGGCCCCAGGTTGGGGTAGCCCTGAGCTGTGTGTTCTACACTGTCTGCCAGAGTTCCCCCAGCAGAATCAATCTCCAGTTCCTCACACGGTACCTTGCCTGGTACTTATCACTATTTATTGGCTGTCTTTTCTTCTCTCTTTCCCACCTCATTATTTGTGTTTCCTGGAATCTCTTCTCAAATAAACTACTTCCCCTGAAATCCATCTCTCAGGGTCTGCTTCTGGGGAAGCCCTACCTCAGACAATACATTCTCATGAGATCCATGCCAGCTTCTGAGCATCTCCCCCAAGACACTGCTGTAGAGAAATGTGCTCTAAATTTTTCACCACTGAAGTTTAACCAGTCTTTCTAATGTCTACCCAAAGGTCATTAAAGTCAAGAGCATTAATACTGCTTTTGCCATTTCTCATGTCCAAAATAGAAATTATTCCCAAATGAGTTGTACCCTCTACAGTTCTACTCCTAATATTACCCATTGTTTTCACGGCTGCCAATACTATTAATGATAATAAGGCAAACTAGACAAAGGATCCAAAGAATATGGTGGAGGCTGGAACCCTCTGTAAGTTTTCTACTGCTTTGTAACCAACTGCCCCCAAAACATGGTGACTTAAAATAATAAATATTTATTTAGCTTGCAGTGCTGCAGTTTGGCATTTTGAGCTAGGTTTGGCTCGGAGTTCTGGTCTTGGCTGGCTTCCTCACATGACTATGGTCAACTACAGGTCAGCTGGGCAGCCTAGCTTCTGGGAGTTGGCAGATGGTGTAGTATTGCATTCTCCAGGAGGTCAGCCAGGACTTTTTCTCATGGCAAAGTCAGAAAGAGTGGAAGCATGCAAAACCTCTTCTAGGCTCACTGCTTCTACCATATTCTATCAGCCAAAGTTGGTGACAGGACCAGTTCAAATTCAAGATATAGGGAAATATACTCCACTTCTTATTGGGAAAAGTTTCAAAGTCATATTGCAAAGAGAAGGGTGAATAATATGGCTATCTTTACAATCACGCTACCACAACCTCAAAGAGGCCTATGGAGTTCTACTTCTCTCCTCTGTGTCTTTAGAATGTCATGAAAATGGGGTGCCTGAGTGGGGCTGTCAGTTAAGCATCTGACTCTTGGTTTCCTCTCAAGTTGTGATCTCAGGGTCATGAGATCAAGCCCCACATCAGCCTCTGCTCTCAGTGCAGAGTCTGCTTGAGATTCTCTCTCCCTCTCCCTCTGCCCCTCCTGTTT